CCCCCCCCACCATTTTCGAAAAGTCCCACGGCTGAGGGACAGGAAATTCCGTAGTTGATCCATGCTAACCCGCGTTAGTCTTCACTCAGCACAAAATTCTCTCGTAGGGAAGTTTGGCGACCGTTTGAGACAACTGCGCTGTCTGCCACAAGCTGTAAATGATCTATCTATGGGCCTCTTCTGGGTGCACTTTCGCCACCATAATCTGCGGCTTCGCTGTCATTGACAAGTTTATTATCTTTGGCGCCTTTCGTACCCGCCTCTGGACAGGCCACGCTTCCTGGGATGAAGTGTTGGATCTCTACGGTCGCGGGCTCGGACTTTCCCCAGTGGAAGTACTAACGCCTGAAAGTCTAAACGTCATGCTTTCGGCACTGGTTCTACACTTCGTCGACAGACGTGAGTAAAGCTGTAAAGAACAATCAAAATGCCCGAAACGTCAACTTTCATCGGATGCGAGCGAATCAAATTAAAAATGCTGGTTCATGCATGAGTAATCGGAGTGCATGACCTCAATTAATGTTCGGGGTTTCCTTTGGAGGGACAAACTGCGACGATGTTCATCTGTTGTGTATTGCAAATGGGTACGCGGGACTTCAGTTTTTCCTTTGTAATCAACTTATTCCTGGTAAAGTTATTTTCAGTTCCCTCTTTGTTTACTGAAAGTTATGTTTCTCTTTTAGATTCGGTAGCGTATACGTGCGATGTGTGTGGCAAGTCATTTGCTGGCGACGAAGTGCTGAAGCGGCATATCGACCGTGTCCACAAAAGTATGTGCCTCTTTTTCTCCTGGTTGGCAGTATTCACTTATTGTGTGACGCCTGTTTATGCCCTTTTCTGGAAAAATTCCCATTTTAAGATTGAAAAGAAGGTTTGGCAAATCACAGTTTTCGTTCATTCTTCATCATTCGTATACATTGACATGGAAAATGAAATAGTCAGTTATGAACAGTCGAAAATATGCGAGGCCCAGGTAATTGAATAGGAGACGGGAAAGCGTTCCCACCTAGTTCTATGTGCACACCTATCCTGCATGGCGGAATCGGTGTATTGAGGACGTTGGCATTTAGAGTGGCTGGCTAGTAACCCTTGTTGGATCAATGGTCCCGCCGGATTGGCCTCAATCCCGGCGGCGAGGAGGAGGAGTCGGAGCAGCGTGGTCGG